GAGAGAGAGAGAGAGAGAGAGAGAGAGAGAGAGAGAGAGAGAGAGAGAGAGCGCGCTCTGATCATCACACATGCATTATGGCATATATGTACACATGTACACACAGACAAACAGACAGACAGAGACTGTGTGTGTGTGTGTGTGTGTGTTTGTGTGTGTGTGTGTGTGTGTGAGAGAGAGAGAGAGAGAGAGAGAGAGAGGTGGTGATATATTGTGTACCCTAATAAAATTTGCTAAAGATCAGAGGACAGAACAAACCACTAGATTAAACACAGATGCCAGGCAGTGGTGGCACACACCTTTAAACTTAGCACTTGGGAGGCAGAGATCTAGATCTCTGTGAGTTCAAAGCCACCCTGGATTACATGAGATTGATTCAGTCTAGGAGAGAAACAGAGCCGGGCAGTGGTGGCACACACCTTTAATCCAAGCACATGGGAGTCACACTCCTTTAATCCCAGCACTAGGGATGAAGTGATATGGGTGGGTAGAGAAAGGTATATAAGGTGTGAGGAGACAGGAACTAAGGCTTTTCGGCTGGAGCCTTTTCAGCTGGACCCCTTTTGGTTGAGGACTCAGAGACATTCAGTCAGACGATTCGTGGAGTTGGTGAGGTGAGACATGGCAGTAGCTTGTTCCTTTATCTCTCTAATATTTCAGCATGTACACCAATATCTGGGTCAGAGATTTTTTATTAAAAGGTCATTTAGAAATTTATGCAACAGAGAGAGAGACAAAGAGAGAGACACAGAGAGAGATTAAAAAAAAAAACATATTTATGAAGGCAAAGCCAGAAGATCAACTTTGTATTTTCTCTTTCTTTTTTCATTTTCTCAATTTCTTCTTCCCAAGTCTCACAAGCAGTTGTAAACAAATAGTGCCTAAATTAGAATCCACTAACTAGTTATCCATATCTTCAAGGATATGTCAGCGGCAATCTGTACCTCAACAATATAATACCCCTCTACTTTTCATAATATATTGGTATAGTTTATTTATGTCTGAGTCTATGTATATTGATAAATACATAAAAGTTAGGTAATATATTCAATTTCAATTTCATCATATCAGTGCGTGCTCATAAAGCCATATGTTTTGAAGAAATATCACTGTATTTTTTAAATATAAGAATATCATCTCAGTTGTTCAGCAGTGTAACTCATTTTGGCACAGTGATGTTGTTACACTTCCTGCTTGGCAGAATAGTCTCAGAAACTATTTAGCTGCAAAGAATTCTCACACATTAGAAATTATGCAAAGAATCTATTTCTTGCAGTTTTCTGTAGTGTGGTCCTTAGTTTTTTGTCAACTTGACATAGGCTAGAGTTATCTGGGAAAAATAACTCAGCTGAAAAATATATTTCTGTCAGATTACTTATAGGCCTGTCAGTCTGTAGAGTATTGTGTTGATTAATGACAGGTGTGGGAGGGCCCAGCTCACTGTGGACAGTGCCGCACCTGGGCACATGGTCCCAGGATGTATAAGACAGCAGGTTGAGCAAACTATGTGAAGCAGCCAGTAAGCAGCATTCCTCCATACCCTCTGCTTTAGTTCCTGCCTGGACTTCTCTCAACAAAGGAGTGTGACCTGAGAGCCCTAAGATGAAAGAAGTCCCTCCTTTCCCAAGTTGCTTTTGGTCACAGTACTGTATCTCATCAATAGAAACCCTAAGACATATACTGTAAGAAGATTATTTGGATACTAAGAAAAATGGAACTTAGTCATATGTATGTAATATACAGTAACATTACGTAATCATCACCTGTTGTTTATTTCATATAGTTTATAAGAACATGTTTATTCTTGTTGCTTTTGCATGATAAAACACTCTAACCAAAAGCAGCTTCAGAAAAACACGGAGGGTGGATTATATGTTTGACCCTTCTGGTCTCAGTCCAACATTGAGGAATGTCACAAGCAAGAACTTCAGGAACTGAAGCAGAGACCATAGAGCAGTGCTGTTCCAGCTTGCTCACTGACTCATGCTCAGCCAGCTGTCTTATACACCAGGGTCCACCTGCCTAGGGATGTGACTGTCCGTGGTAGCCTGGGCCCTTCCCCCTTCATAATCAAAAAAATATTTCACAGACAAACTACAGGCCAGTCTGATGGAGGCAGTCCTTCAATAGACAGTATCAACTATCCACCACCATGTTCATTCAGTTACAATGAAGGAAGAAGAGCAGAAGTTCATAAGCCAGATTGAGAAAGACAAGGACTGCTTTCTAACGTGTGGACTAGGGATTAAAATGTGAACTCTTGTCTGCCTGTCTGTAGCTATCTCTCTGACATGAAAGTATGATAGGGAATATGAGGAGCAATGAAGAGGTCTACAGACAGGAAGAGGGGAGATAAGACGGCACTGGGAGGAAGTGTGTCATATGTATTTATATATAAATTATTATTTGTATATATTCATGTACATACTGTGTGTGCCAGATGAAAGCAAGTGCAGGACTATATGGAATACAGAGGCAGAAAGGAGACTGGAGAGTCTATAAAGATCATTGAGAGGACAGCAGGAGGGATGAGGCGAAGGTGTGTTGAAGGTGGCATGTCAGTGAGAGTGGGCATTTGAGGTTTCAGAAGCCCATGACATTCCCAGTTAGCAT